TACAGTATGTCAGTTCTCTTTGGTGACAGCAGAGAATGTAATTTGTAGCTTCAGTACACAATCATAACTGTGTTTACAAAAAATGAAACCCAAAATATTCTGTAGGCATTTATACAAAACGTAGTATAATCATGTTCACATGTTAATTTATACAGGAAGGTGACTGACATGCATTGATAACTTTTACTTAACAAAGCATTCAGATGGAAAGGAAACAAACACTTCTATGAAAAATTCTGCCATGGACTGGCTTGCTTTCTTGCTCTTGTAAACTTGAAGTGATTCAAGATTCATTTTAAACTAATGACAATAACCCTATATAAAGAAAAGCGCTGAGATCAATGCAGTCACCATCATGTGAGCACTGCTGAAGAATATACTTATACATACTTGTTCAAAGTTCCTTTTTTCCATAATTTACCTATTCATTTTCCCTTTTTTTTCTATTTCTCAAAAGATTGCGAAATAATTAAACCAGAAGATCAGGTGAGCAACATAAAGGAACAGATCTGAGATCAGAAAATTGTTATAAAAATGCAATTTATTTTTATGAGCATAATTTACAACTAACAGTGAAGCACACTGTGCTTAGTTCCTTGAAGAGTCTTAATATATGCATCAAATATTTCAGGATGAAATAAAAAACTCTTCTCTTGAGGAGAAAATACAACAATTTCTGGAGCTCCACTCTTTATCTTCCACAAAAAAGCAGCATGGTCTTACTCATTGTTTGAAGCACTGCTGTTGGCTGGCTATCAGGAGCAATTCATGCTCTACTTCTTTTATTGGATCAGACCTAACTTTTTTCTCATCTATCTATAAAAAAACATTTTCTCATCACAAAAGATGCATAGTCTTAAAACAAAAAAAAATATTCTGAAAAATACAAAAGGTTCTAGTTTTTCTTGGTAATGCCTGCAGGAAACATTCTCAGCTTACTTTTATAATGTTAACAGGAGACTGATTATCTCAACAATAACAAAATTTCCAAAGATTCAGCATAATAAAATACTGGGCAACCTATAGTTGTCACAGCCATGGTCCCATCTGCTTACACCACCATAATAAAACAGCCCAGCTGATGGACACAGTGCACCACGCAAGTTCTTAACACAACTGTCCAACCATGTAATAACATAGGGACTTTGCCACACAAGAACAAATGTGAAAAAGCCAAACAGTAGCAGACTTGCACAAGTTGATAAGAAGATGGGCCACTCTCTTGAAAACTTACCCTCTTAGACTCTTCTCCACCACAAAACAGGCTACTAAGACAAAATCTCTTCTAGGTTTTCTCACTTAAAACCATCACCATGTAACTGATACCAAACAAAGATGGGGCAGAACTGCAGTTTGTATGCACTGTGCTGCAGAGTGCTGGAGCCAGTAATGCCAGCACTGCCATAGCCACTTCAGCACTATTGCATGTGATATATCACACATTGCCCTATAAAGTGCCAATACTCTTCAGGTTAAGTATTCCAAACATTGTACTTACCATGGTTTACCATAGACATTTCTTCTATCACATGCTTTTGCCCACATCTCACTTACAAAGACCTCACTGCAGCCCTCAGCCTGCTGCTTTTGTTCTTATTACTAGTTTGAACAGTGGATAAGACTTTTTCTTCTAAACCCCGCCCGTCCCCTCTGCAAAAGCATGTATCACAGCAGATATACATACGGAGAACAAGAAATGATGCCTCTGTAAAAATATGTTCCTAATGTTCAGACCTATTTCAAGAGTAAATCAGATGAGTGACAAAGCAATCATAGCATGACTTTATCTCCATTTGTAAAAATATTGTTCATGGTATCACTGAAATGAAAGCCATAATTAGAACCTGGAAAAAAGGAGATGTGAGCAGGTCCAGAGGTTGCACACAACTTCCTCTTGTAATTAAAGAATTCACACAAAACTAATAACCAAGTTACCTGAAGGAAGTTAAGAAGAGCTGTAGTCTACTTCACTTACTTCATATAACATTTGAAATAAAATACTGATTTAATAATAGAGAAGGAAGATGAAGATTTGGAATCTTTTCTTGCTTCTGTGAACAATGGACAACGAGATGAAAAGTTTAACAACTCCAGAAGACAAGGGAGAAGGAAGAAAAATTACTTTTACCAGATGATAAAAATATCCACTATATTTTCAAAGATTCTTACCTTCTATCCTTAAAAAGGATTTTTATTGGATTATACTCTCCTAGTGTTCCTTTCTTACAAAGCATCCATATGCTAGTCAATGGCATTAATCAATGCCATTATTATAAATGAAGCCATTTTCACTGCTTATTTCCATTTTCCTAACTTTATCCCCTTCATTAAACTGACAGAAACCACCTTCTCCTTCTATTTGCATTTGAGAAGACTAGATACACACAATTCAGACTTTAAAAAACCTTTAGGTAATCAAAACTGAGAAGCATTTTGAAATTATGACAAAAGTTGAATTAAAGCTCTGAATACTGTTACTGGCCTTTCAGATTTTCAGGTATTAACATCTTTGCAAAATACTAAATATTACCTCAAAGACAATATATTTATGTTTCAAAGGTAGATAATTTCTGTTAGTTTATTGTGTTTTCCTCATTAATTTGTGAAACATACGCTAGGTGTTAAGAAATGCTTTGTGGAGATTACATTCCTAATATAAATGCAGAAAACACTGCTGGATTAATATAGCATCACATGCTTTTTTATGCCATTTCTGTTAAAAGTTTACAGGCAGTGCTGCAAAGCTTAAAGTCAGTGGTTTCTCATCCTTTTCAAGTTTACCTATTTTAACCTAACTTCTATTTCTGTCATGTGAATAATGTGAAATTGTTACACTGACAAAAACACCTTACAATAGGACACAGGCCAGAGATGTTCTCATTAAAATAGAGAAATTGATTCAAGGTTCAAAGCATGATTTAAAAGAGACCTTGGAACACTTTGGTGCTTTAAATAAAGCCTGGACTAGCAAACTTTGCGGAAAAACTTCCCATTTGGAAACTGCATTTCTGGCCAGAAGTAGCATTGCATTTGAAAACCTGTATCTGTTTTTTTTTTTTTTATATAACACAGTACTTTTCCCCCCATGAAATGCACATAGAAGAACAGTTTGTGGAAGGGTACTCAGGAGGCATGGGGAAAGAGACAAGAAGGTGCCTCTGAAAAAGAGGATGAAGAGTGAGATGTTGGATACTAAAACTGAACATAAAATGCCAAAAGTCAGATGCCACTTAAGCGTTCCAGAGCTGTGAACTGTAAACACTGTAAGAATATTGGAATTTACACACATATCAATACACAGCCATAGAGTATAACACCTAATTAGGAGGTACTAGTATGTTAATGAGATTCTGACAAGCTCAGGGACAGAATCCAGAGGACGAATACTGTATCAGAGATGAGTTTACACTGGAAAAATCAAGCCAAATGAGGTAAGACATGCAGCAGACTCTCCCCAGTGTTATTTTCTTTAAGATGAAACAGACATATTTTATCTAAAATATGCAATGTTTGCTTTACATTATCCTATAATTTCTTGTACACAGTAGCTCTTTTAAGAAGGAATCAAATACTAAACTTTTTATGTCCTCCACAGTAGTGATAAAGTCAAATGGACAGTAATGTATATAGAGGGGAACTGCTTCAAGATTGGTTCTCAGTTTAATACCCATTACAGCATTCAAATGGAAATTTAAATTAAAAAAACTATTTTGTTTTGTCTCTTTTGCCATAGCATACATTTTACAATTCAGCTGAAAAAAAAAGCTTTTACATAGCATCTGCTTTTGGGCAATCTGAGATTGGCACAAGTTGCCACTAATTTGGCACAACTTTTGTAAATAATAAATTTATTATCAGCTTTTTTTCACTGATTGGATGTTTTTTAACTCTAGGTCCCAACAACTCTCCTCATGAGACTAAAAGATTGTTCTTTTATTAAGTAATTAAAACACTGAAGACTTTTTATCAAGTAGCAAGAATATTAATTGGGTTCTCCATAAAAAAGAGATAACATGTAAAATATCTTGTTTCGCATGTTAATGCTTTGTAATCATGCAGAGCTTTTCAACTTCAAAGCTCTTTACATGAATTAAGTGGATGTCCCTGAAGGCCTTGGGCAAAATTTTCCTTGCCTTCAGAAAGAGTTTTGCACCAGAAAAAAGCTTTGTAAAAGATGCAGGACTGCGTTTTGTTGTTTCAATCTACTGCCATCACACGTAAGATAAAAATATTACTAGTATTTTGCAGATGGAGCAGTGAAAATAAGGGGGAATTGAATTAAACTATTTCTGCTCATCTGAAAACTAGGTATGAAGGTACTTCACTTCGGTGTGGCACATTAAGCAGGCAAGAAACAAAATGTGAGATAATTCAGTTTCCAAAGCCATGTCAATACAATTTTCAGTTATCTCTTCACTTCCTCACCAAAAATCAAGGTGACTGAAAGTCTGATGATTAGCACTGCTATTGCACTGCTCCACACATGATGCCTTCACTCAAGCAGTCAGACAGAGAAAAATGCATTTGCTAGAATTCAATCAGAATCTGTTATCTGGTACTCCATTTTGCTTTGTCAAATGACAGTTTAAAAGAAGCTTTCTAGAAACAGAAAGTTTCCAAAAAAACAGGAGCAATGGTTATTCCCTTATATCAAATAGACCAAAATCTGTCATGAATTATGTTAGAACAGAAGTTCAAACTGAACTTTCTTTTCACTGTCTTAAATGATGCTGCAGATAGGAAACTGCAATAGACATTTACAACCTATGCACTAAAGCATGACTAGTTTTTCAGCATCCTTTGCCATAATGACATTTTCTGTTCAGTACAAGTAAGATCAACAAGCATTCCTCTTTGTACTTACCATGTTACTTTTATGCCACTTCACTGGACACACGGAGTAATACATTGGGTCTTTTTATTGCTCAAGTAGAAAGTGCTCATTACCTATTTTGTTTATAGATACGAAAAAAAACCAGAGTTGTTTCAAGTGGCATACATCACACTGTTGTAGTGGTTGATTTTCTCAAGATGGTCTTCTGGGGTTTTGGCGCAGTTTGTGGAGGCACAGTTGCAGGTCTCGGAGGAGGAAAGCTATTACTAGGACTTACCCCCAACCCTCCATTATCCAGAGGAAATGGAGGCAGAGGAGGTGGTGGAGGGGGCAGAGGAGGGCACTGGTGTGGCAGCTTTCCCACAGCATGGGCAGGCTCACTGTGCAAGTGCACCTCCCTGTTTTTAATGTTATACCGAACATCACAGTCAGGGCAATAGCCATGGTACTGCACTTTTTCACTAAATCGTACCCGTTCCCTGGCTCCTGGCTGAGAACACCGCTCTTTCTCAGGTCTGTGCGTCAGAGGCTGCATCACAGCTTTCTCTAAGTTACTGCTTGGCACGCAGCACATCTCTCCGTTTGGGATGCGGCTGGACCCCACGGGCAAGCACCCGTTTCGCAGGAGGGTACCATTAGTCTTGACAGGTTTGGCTGAAGGAGGCAGCCTTGGAGGCTCATCACACTTGATGGGCGTCAGCCGTGGTGGAGGAGGGGGTGGATTTGGCTTCCTCAGCACGGTGAGGATAGCAGAGGGGTGCGAGGGGGGCTTGATGAGGGGTGCGCTGCCCCGCACCTTGACTTTCTCCAAGCTGGAAGCTGTTGTGCTGCTGGAGCTGCTGTTGAGTGTGTCCGTTTTGGAACTATCAGTCATCTCATCCTCCAGCTGCAGGTCAGACGTCAGTGTGTCAATCTGGTCAACCACCTGCGCAACAGCCAGAGTGAACACAGTGAGAAAAGCTTGCCCCACTGGAGGCACAGAAAAACAAAAGGACTCTCCACTATCAGTTTTGTCCCAGTTCCCAGAACTGAAGCATTAAAATTATTTTTTTTTCACCATGATTTCTTTTTTCTTGCCAATGTAATATAAGAATGGTAATAACAACACTAAAATAATAGTGATTATTATGATGATTATGATTATTATAACAACAATGAAAACAATAGGGATGGATAGTTTCTTAGCTCAGCACCTGAATACAAAAGTAATATCACTTCAAACACTCTGGAATTAAATTCTTTTTCTTTCCCTCTAGGGTTTACTTGGCAATATCATTGTAAGTGAACTGTAATCCTGCAATATTATGTTTTCCCTTTCAGTATAGGAGGAGACTGAATTATTTAACTCCAGATTCTACATGAAGCTTCTGAATCCACACCTTCTGCAGAGTATCTTTTAAGTTTGACCTGTCACACAGTCTAGGTGTATAGGTGATATTATACATGTACAATCATAAGTTGGTACACTCTCTCCTGATGATTTTTTAGCATAAATAAGGCACTAAGAAGCAACCTCCCTCTGGCATTATACTGCATTATCTCCCTTTTGAATATTTTCCTTAATATCTGAGATCCTCTGAAGCAATCCTGAAATAGCATTTGTTTCAAGAAAAGAGGAAAAATAGCCTAGTTTCTGAAGTTACAAGCATTTATTAATTTAAGTTATTTATTCCAAGATTTCCTTTAACTCCCGTTTTTCTGTTTGTAGCTTCTACAATTTTAGATTTCCTGCAATCTTCCAGACTCCTTTTTACTGAAATTTTATAGGATGTGTAACTAATGGTGCCTTTACTAGGTAGCAAAAATTTGCCATATGTTGATTAAAAGCCCTTCCTGAAAACTGCATTTCACTCAGTATTTGGTTGAAAAACTGTAGCTGTAATCTACAGGTAACTACAAGACACACCATGGAACTAAGCACACCTGTAAAACTGATCTTTATCTTTTAGCTCCTCACAGGATTTACCTAAAGTAATCTGTAGCTGAGATGTTACTAGCTAACTTTGGTGCATGAATAAAAAAACTTGTGCCACTGCTTGGAGACTTTATGGGAGATTTGTGATATTCTAGAGGGGGCACTTGAGTGTATCTGAAATAAAACCAGATGCCTCTAGTTGTGCCACTGTATCAATCTTTCTTACACTTTTTGACACTTTTATTTCTACTTGCTGCTTTCTATAATTTGCTCCTAATATTACTGATTTCAAATACACCTATTTTTGAGGAGTATAAGTCATACACTAACCACAAAATTGAAAGTCATTGCTGAAGGTAGTGACTATTTGGTCAGACCAGTAATTCAATTATGTGTCCAGTGGTAACCAGTAAATAATGGAAAGAAAACCACCACAGAATGAAGCAACTCTTTAGTTTCCACTGCTCATACTGTAGCTAAGAGCTATGTAATATAAAATTAACAAAAATTCATATGCAACAATTCAGTTCAGTGCTTTCCTTCTCCTAAAAACATCAACATGCAGACAATCATGATTCAGAAAGAGAGCTTTCAAATATCTTTTGAAAAATCCTATTTTTTTTCTCTCCAAGACAAAAACAACTGCTCAGTTTTTCACTGTTCAAAGCCCAATACCATGCTGCATTTCAGTTTCTATTTTAGTATTTTTATTTTGCTCCAGTAAAGAATAAAGAAAAAATTATATCCTTAAAAGATGGACATTAATTCCCCCAGTAGGGCTATATCTAAAAACCAACACTAACTAACAACAATTCACCAAATACAAGAAAAAAAATAAAATCAAGAAAAGTAGAATAGATTTATGCACTACAATTCTTTTTCTTTTTCTTGTTCTTTTAAATTTTTATGCAGACAATCAAACCTTTCAGTAGACTTGAAAAAAAAAATTACTAATGATAAGCATTCCAATCAGGAAACACTGAAGAACTCAAATGCACCAGCAGTTTTAAATCACATAAATCAGAGGTACTGAGTAACTCACCTCGTAAATTGGGTCCTTTCTGAGAACAGTTTCAAGGAAAAAATCAGTGTTATATGACTGTAGGAAGACCACAGATCTGCGCTAAAGCACATTAATACTACTGCTGTTGAGTTCTTGCTTGTCAATGCACTAACTTTTAAAACTTCTAAATACACTTTTTAAACTTTTCTTTTGAAATGTCTGTTTGGAAAGGTTTTCTCAAGATATCTGAGTATTAAAAAAGCGCAGAAATAGGTAATCGAAAAGATGGTAGGAAGAACTGTTTTTATTAGATTCAGAAAATAAAAGAATGCTAATAAAATGAAAACAAAAGGAAAATTATAGATCTGTGGTTAAATTTGAAATTTTTACCTTTTTTTGATTAATTTTAATTTTCTACTAAATAAATGCTATGGATATTCATCAAAGAAATTAAAACAGACAAATGAAATGGTTAGAAGGCTATAAAAGAGGATATGTAGAAATGAAAACTCCACACTCCAAAGAGGACACAAATGAAATAAAGTACCTGTGCAGGAGCTGACAAACTGCCACTGGTAAGAAGAAAAACAAACAGGAAGTTACCATGGATTGTTTCATACAGACAACTTGCCAGGCAGTAATTCCTAAGAGGAGGCAATGAAGCAAGATCACTAGACCTTAAGATGGGAATGCAGTGATTACACTCTGGATACACTTAAGCAATGCATAATAGAAGTTGAAGCCAAAGTGAATAAGTGCATTAATGTTGTAAACATGATTGCTGGGAGAAAAACAATAGCGTAATAAAGATAGGAAAGAAAAGGCAATCATGTAAGAGCACATGTAACATGGAGCTGACAAAATATATGAGGTAATGGCTAAAGTTTTAGCAGAATTTGTGAGAAAGACGGCATGCAGAAGTTCATAAATGTAACTCCTAAATGTATACAATAGGTAAGATGAGTTTTTATTCTCACTTCACTAAGATTAGAGATGAATATGATTTATGTGATATTTATAAGGTAGAACCATAAGCAAACTGAGACTGAAGATCATTATTTGGAGACAATTTTGCTCCCTGTTGTCTCTCTTGGGGAGTGCACAGCATATTCAAATGTTAGAGTAAATGTAAAGCTCCTTCCTGCAGATAGAAGCAAGATTAAGTTATGCAGTACTGGAAAAAAAAACCTTTGCCAATCTGCTGCAGAAATTCTGTGCTGCATCCACCACAGTAGGGAGAATGAATCAGTATTTGCAAATTAAGAAGCTAAAAAGAACATTGATACTACCCATCCTCAATTAAAAAAAAAATAAAAAATAAAAAAAATTGGAAAAAACAAAGGAAGACACTAAGGTTGAAAATAATTTGCAATGCAAAGATACCCCATAATTAACTCCATCCTCAATGATATCAAACATTTATATTAAATCACTTAAAAATATAGAGCTAGCTCTTTCCAATGCTGCTCCATGATAGGATGAGGGAAAACAGCACCAAGTTACAGCACAGGAAGTTCCACCTCAACATAAGGAAAAACTTCTTTACTGTGAGGGTGACAGAACACTGGAACAGGCTGTCCAGAGAGGCTGTGGAATCTCCTTCTTTGGAGACTTTCAAGACCATCTAGATGTGTTCCTGTGTGATCTTCCCTAGGTGCTCCTGCTGCAGCCGAGGGGTTGGACTTTATAATCTTCACAGGTCCCTTCCAACCCCTGTGATTCTATGATTCTATGATTTTCCACTGAGGTCAAGCTAAAGTTCCTGTTTAAAGTAATTGAGAATCTTGTCCAAGAAAACATCTGTGTTTATCAAAAGCAGGCTATGCTGGCCTAATATTTCCATTATTTGAGCTGTACATGTAGGTTTTGTTTGGTTTTGACCTCCTCTGCTAAGGCACTTTTGTAGGTGAATGCCCTAACTTGATTAGACCAATACTCAAAACTCTGTATTTCTTACTGGATGCCAAGTTCTCATTATATGAATCTAACTTGGCAATAAGGCTAAAACATGACACAGGAATTGACAGATTCTTCTTAATTGTATGCCTAAGCTTCTCTGCAAAGAGAATCAACCACTAGTCACAAACACTTTTGCAGTGCTTCCTTTGTGTGATTACACGATACGCATCCATAAACATGTTTGCAATCTACTGAGAGTTTTATTATCTCCTTACAATAAATGTTTCATCAGGTTTGTTTTTCCCTCTGCTTAAAGGCAGCAGGAAACAAATCATTAAGGTACAGATGTTCAATGAATATATAAACCACTAATTGCACTTAATCCATCACAGGTAATTGTGCTTTTTTTTCAACTCTTCAGTAAAGAAGCAAATAAGATTTTCAGAAAAAAAAATAAATCAATGTACTCTAAAAGATTAATTTTAAGTTCACAGAACAACAAAACTATATTTTTTCCTTAGATGTCCAGGTATTTTCACTGTTTTGTATGTTCTTCAAAGTTTCAAGTGGATTTATGTGTAAGATTAGTTTTTAAAAATTATTTCCTTCTGTACAGGCTAGTACCTCTCAAAAACAGCTACATAAGCAAAATGGAAATAGTACCTAGCTATGATATTACTTCTGAGATGGAACAGTTATAATTCATATATTACTGTTTAATGGTACACCACAGCAGAACACAGCTATGAGATTTGATTTAACAGCTTGCTGCAAGTTTTCTAGAATATTAAGCTACAGATGCTGAACACGACATTAAATCAACTAAATCAAGTGATGTCATGAGACAAGCAAAAGTTTTTACTTTCTTTCTTAGAACTAAATAAATTCCAGGGGATGAAACAAAATTAGGTGGTGTTCTTTAATTACAAACAAGAACAATCATAATATCTTAATTTCACTATTTTGAAGCAATTCCAAAAACTTGCAAAGTTTAGCATGGATACATTTTGCACCATACATGCAAAAATTAACTGTGTGACAAGCCAGAAAAAACAGCAGTCAGCTCCACATGAAAGAGGCTGCTCTTCCCTTTAAGTAAGGAACTGGCAAACATGCTATGTCAGGAGCTCTAATATCTTATGATTGCATCTC